TCTGGGTGGAGCAGGCTGGCGCTTCAGTTGAACCCAGGTACCTTTCTCTTTGGCTTCCTTCTTTTTCTGATCATTTTCCTTCACACGTTTCAGGAAGCTATCTCGGCTCTTAGAGTGCTTAATGTGTTCAATACGTACATTAATCCTCTTGGCAAGAATTTTCCCTTAACTTGTTTGTTTACAACAATTCCAACAGCATGCTGGGTAACATCGTAGACTCTTCCAGTTTTGCCATGGTAACATTTGTAGGGCACACCTTTTTGAACAGTACCAATTCCCTTGATATCTACAATATCAGCTTTCTTGTAGATTCGCATGTATGTGGCTAAAGGAACAACTCCATGTTTTCTAAAAGGCCTAGAGAACATGCATCACGTGCCTCTCCTCTTTCCCTTTGTGTTCATCATTTTGGCGAATTACTGGAAGATGGCGGCTCTGGCGGAAAGGGAGCTGTGGCTTGTCTCTTCGCTTTATTGATTGTTTCCTTTGCTGCACAGCTTTTTGGCTTGATGCAATTCCATTTGTCTATTTTTGCTTTTATTGCCTGTGCTTTTGAGGTCTTAACACAAAACATCTTTGCCCAGACCAATGTCCTGAAGCATTTCCCCAATGTTTTCTTCTAGTCGTTTCATAGTTTCAAGTCTTAGATATAAGTCTTTAATCCACTTTGATTTGGTTTTTGTGTATGGTGAGAGACAGGGTTATAGTTTCATTCTTGTGCAAATAATTATCCAGCTTTTCCAGCACCATTTATTGAAGAGATTGTCCTTTCCCCCTTATATGTTCCTGAGGGATACAAGAAAGGGAGTTGGGGAAGAGAGACCAGGGAAGGAAGTAAAATCAGTGAAGGATGCATTAATAAAGTCATTACTGCCATGGACAATCCTTTGGAGATCCTCTGAGAAGCTTTGCTGAACTGGTCTCAGAAATTTCCTATCTAGGGATAAGAAAACTGGAGTATTGTTCTCGACTCCTGTGCATTGTTTGCTGTATGCATCTCGGGGTGGGGCGGGCAGAGGCATTAAACCTCTGGCATATCCAGACTGCCTTGTGCCTGGGCTGAGCAAGCCTCCTCAGTGCCAGAGAAAGCCTGGTGGAGAAGCAGAGAGATACACGCAGGCCCTGTGCATGGGAACTGTCCAACACAGCTGCAGGTGGGTCAAGGGAACATGCAGTGGCATGTATCACAGTATCTGCCATAGGGACTTTTGTTTTTTATTCCCTGATATATCTAATATATCCCCAGCCCCTAAACAGTGTTCAACCCTTTTTATAATGAATGAACGAATACTATAGGCATTTGTTGGATGTGTCCCCAGCATCCATTTTCCCTTTTATGATCAACTGTATCCCTTTTTTCCCCTAGGAAACCATCTCTCCCCATTTCTCAGCCTGGGCCTTTGGTTGGGATTGGCTGCCATCCCTAGTTCCTGGATGTGGGCTACTCCCAGAGCCCCCACCCCAAAGACTTAATCCAATCAACCCCTCTTACTCACTTCCTCCTACCCCCAAATGATCTGTTCAGAGATGGACACATGACACATTTTGAACCAATGAGAGTGAATTCCAGGCTTGTTCTCTCTTTTCCTATAAGGATGTGAGGTCTGGCTCGGCTGCAGTTTTACCCCCACGTGAAATCTTGGAACTTCTGGGCTGATAGCATGACGCCCGGAGAGAAAGCCAATAGGAAGGCAGAGAGGAGAGGGAGAGACTTTTGGTGTTTGGACACATCTTTTGGAGCTGCTGGATCGAGTTTCCTTTGAAGCCAGAACTAAATCCGGACTTTTAATTGCCATATCCAGTAAAAATTCCTTTGTGTTATAAGCCAATTTGAAGTGGATTTTCTGTCACTTAAAGCTGAAAGAGTCCTCACTTATTGTATACCTAACTCACAGGTTTGTTGTGAGGCTCAAATAAAATAGCACTTGGTGAAGCAAATGATACTCAACGAATGGTAACCAGTATTATTATGATGATGTATTTAGTTTTACAGAGTTATGCGACCTTTTTATTCTACTCACCAACATTGGCATGTTTCTGTTATTCTTTTCAATATTATTCAATTTCTACCCTTAAAGGAGAGAGGCTGAGGGTCCAGCCTAGCCCCAGGCTCCCAGCCACCAGCCTGAGCCTAGGATCCTCCCTGCACAGTCACGGCTGGTGAATGACACAAGGCCCACTTGGTGTGGTTCTAATTCCTCTGACATCTCATTTTCATTTTTTGGCAATATTTGTCTGCATCGAGCTTACACATAAACGTTTTCAGCAAAGTACTGCAAATGCCCTTTTTAGAAATCTGAACCCGCATGCAAACAATAGCAACAAGAAAAAGGTGTAAACTTCCCAGAGCAGTCCCGGATTTTGAAAATGTGATAAAGAGGTTATTGTGTGCCTGAACTTTTCGCACAAGAATTGGAGGAGATTTAACACAAGGAATAATAAACAGAGGAAGGCTGGCTAATGCAGAGCAGATGGGCCTGCAGGGCAGCACTAAGCATTTCAACATCTTTCCCCGGGGACCTTTGGACTCCAGATGACTGAATGCTGGTGTCTTTAGCTAAAAATAAAGTGAATGCCATTGGGGAAGTCACAAATATGACTTATTTGATTTTGGGGGTGATTGATGGACTAAAGTTTTTAAGAACCCACATGTGGCAGGGATTTGGCATTCACTAATTTAATCCTGACCACAACTCCATTTTAAAGACAAGAAAATCAAGGCTCCGAAAATGTTAATCACTTCCTGACGGGCACACACAGCCAGTATGACAGTGGAGCCAGGGTCAGTCCTAGGTCTGTCTCATTGCATATGCCATGGTTCTGCAAACTGGGGTAATAGGTGAGCAGGGAAAAAGAGTCATGGCCAAATAAATTTGAAAAACAATGACATTTTATATATGTATATATACATGTACACATATATACACACACACACATATGTATACACACATGTGTGTATACACATATACACTTGCCTAGAAATAGGCTTACTAAGGTATAATGGATGTACCACAGATTGTACATATTTAAAGAATACAACTTGGTAAGTTTTGACATGTCTATACCTGGGAAACCATCACCACATTCAAGATGATGAGCATTTCCAACATTCCCAAAAGTTTCCTCCTGCCCTTTTGCAATTCCTACCTCCAATCCCTCCTGTTCCTCCCACTTCTGATCTTAGACAACCACTGATCTGCATCCTATCACTACAGATTAGTTGCATTTTCTAGAGTTTTACATAAATGGAATCACATAGTATGCACTATTTTTTGTCTGTCTTCCTTCACTCTGCATAATTATTTTGAGATCCATTCATGTTATTGCATGTTTATCTCTTCCTATTGCTGAGTAGTATTCCATTGTATGAATATGCCGCAACTTATTTATTCATCTATAGATGGATATATGGGTTGTTTCTAGTTTTGGGCTATACAAATAAAGTTGTTGTGAACATTTGTGGACAAGTCTTTGTATGAGGTATATTTTCTTTCCCTTTGGAAAAATATCTAAGAATGGAATGACTAAGTCATATGGTAGATACATGTTTAACTTTTTAAAAAATTTTTAAAAATTTTAATTTTTAAAGAAAACTTTTAAAGAAATTGTTGGCTGGGCGTGGTGGCTCATGCTTGTAATCCTAGCACTCTGGGAGGCCAAAGTGGAGGATTGCTTGAGGTCAGGAGTTGGAGATCAGCCTGAGCAAGAGTGAGACCCTGTCTCTACTAAAAATAAAAAACTTATCCGGGCGTGGCGGCATGCACCTGTAGTCCCAGCTACTCGGGAGGCTGGGCTGAGGCAGGGGAATCACTTGAGCCCAGGAGTTTGAGGTTGCTGGGAGCTAGGCTCAAGCCATGGAACTCTAGCCCAGGTGACAGAGTGAGACTCCATCTCAAAAAAAAAAAAAAAAAAAAAAGAGACACTGATAAACTTTTTTCCAAAGTGGCGATAGTGTTCGAGAGTTCCAATTCCCCGTATTTTCACCAGTACTTGGTATGGTCAGTCTTTTAAATTTTTGCCATACTAATAGGTGTGTAGTAGTATCAAATCTCTTACAGTTTTATTTGTTTTTCCCCAGTAACTAACAATATTGAGTATGTTTTCATGTGCTTGTTTATCATCTATATATCTTATCTAGTTCAGTGTTTGTTATATTTTTAATTATGTTATTTCTTTTCCTATCATTGAGTTTTAAGAGTTCTTTACGTATTCTGGATACAAGTCTTTTAATAGATATATGTTTTGTAAAGATTCTCCAAGTCTGGGCTTGTATTTTCATTCTCCTAACAGTATCTTTTGAAGAGCAGATGTTTTCAATTCTGATGAAGTCCAATTTATATTCTACATCTCCTAATGTCTGTTTCACATTTTAAAAAATTTTAGTTATATTCCGGAAGATTTCCTTGGCTCGATTTTACAACTCACAAATTTGCTCTTTGGCAGTTCATTCTATTACTCATTCTATACGTTAAATTTTTTTGATTATCAAATTTCAAATTAACTTGCAAAATAAAAATCATTCATAATGTTTGCAATTTGATAATCTTGCATCTCTCCAAGAATATTAATTATTCAGATCGGCTCAGCTGTCAGCTCTATTTCCTCAGGTGTAAGTTCTGTACTTGGTAAAAGAGAGTCTCTTGCACAGAGCTGGATTTCCATAGTTGCTTGGGGATTCTTAACTGAGGAATCATCTTGTGTTTGGGGATCCCTGTTAGCCTGTCTTTGACTGCTTATTGCAGTCCACCTCCAGGATGGAGGGTGAGAGTCAGACGTAGAGCCACCAGGGGAGGATTTCTTGGTATGGGAAGTTCTCATTCCTCCCCGGTGTCACCAGCCCCCTGGGATGCTATCCTGGCTCCTGTCATAATGGCTCATGCTCCTTGCTCCTAGAAGGAGGCAGACACCACTATTGCTGCTGCCTCCCCAAGGGTGGTGGGCACAGGGCCTGTTGACCTGACAGATCCTGCTCAGGTCATCCTACTCATTTCCCGTCAGGTGCTCAGAGCCGCTCCTGCTCCCAGGCTCTGGTGCCTCAAGGCCGTGAGTGTTCTTGGAGCAGCTCCCGTCTTCCACTTTTATGCAAGAGTCCTCCCCGATGTGTCCTTTAGTACAGGGATCTTTTTATAGTCTGATTTGATTGCCTTCCATATTTCAGGGAATTCTAAAGATTTCTTATCCATAAGATACCCCTTCCAGTTTTCTAACATTATGGATCAAAACCACATTTTGTCTCATATCTAGAGACCAGCGTTGGAATGGGAGCCTGTAACTAACGCTCAGTCTTCGAACCAATCTGTAGGCAGTATTTGCATCTATAGAATATCTTGGCATTTGAAGGTCCATGTGTGCAGCCCACATATGCCATGTGTTGTTGTGAAAGTTTGGTTTGCCCTTCCTTTGGAAAAGTTTTCTGGGGTCCACCTGCTGAGGGGAAAAAAATAACCATTTTTAGAAATGAAAATCTGAACATTTCTCTCCCCTATTAAAAACCTTTCAGTGGCTCCCATTGCCCTTCAGGTGAAGCCTCCACTGGCTTTATGGGTCCTCCAGACTCCATTCCTCACTCTCTCCCCACCTTCTTTCTTGCTCTCTCTTCCAGGCTCAGGTCATTTTTTTCCCACTTCTATGAGAGGGCCCTGCTCTCCTGCCCTTGAACAGCTATTCTTTCTGAACGGAATGTTCTCTGCCTTCTCTTTTCTTCCTTTCCTCTGATCCCGACTCATCCTTCTGGTCTCAGATTAGAGGTTCGTTTCTCAGCACGCTCAGACACCTCTGGGGCCCTGACCCACATCCACCAGCTGCACCTCTGAGTCCAGTTGTGGCTGTGGCTGCAGCCCTGGAGTGGACAACTCTGAGTCATTCTATGCATTCTGCTGGAGGTTCTGGTGGGATCAGGCGCCTAGGCCCACATTTGTGACCTTGATAACCTGTCCTTGTATTGCCTTTTCCTCACTCTCTTGAGTCTCCTACTTCCTGGGATCACCTCCCAAATAAACTGCCCATGGGTGAGTCTTTGTCTTAGGCTCTGCTTTCAGAGGGTGGGAGGGACCCAAGCTAAGCCACTTCCAGTCTGCATTAGAGCCCTGTGACCAGCTGTGGTGGCTCTCACTACGCTACTGTAACTGCTTGGTTCACTTCTGTCCTCTGTGCTAGACTGAGAGCTCTGTGAGGGCAGACCCCTCTCCACCGTTTTCATCAACGTATACTCAGTGCCTAGAACTGCATTAGCACAAAATAGTTGAGTGAACATCTGAATGGATAAATAGAGTTTGTCCTTCTCCTTGCTCTGCTATCTTAGAGGCTTTCCAGGGGTGAAAAATGCTCATGTTAAATATGGAAAGAGGATCTCAGTGAACCCTATACCAGCAGCAACTGTCTATAGGAGATGCACAATTTCATCTGGAAACTATAATTAGGAAAAATCCAAGCTCTCATCCTCATTTCTGGACACTTTAGAGCCTCTTCCAATCTCTGTTATGTAGCAGACAGCCCAGAGTGCTGGGAAGAACATGAGATTTGGGATGAGGCCATCCTGGTTTTAGATTCCAGCTCAGTCACGTCTCCGCTGTGTAGTCACGCAGAAGTCATTTGTATTTTCTGAGCCCATTTCTTCATTTGCCGAAAGGACATAAAGTAGCACATGGCCTCCTAACTTGACGGGTCACCACCAGTGCAGGGTGCCACAGAGGAGTGGTGACTTAGATATCATTCTAAGGCATTCATCTCTGCATCGTGTGAATGAAAGGCTAACATTCTAGAAACAGCTCTTCCTTTCAGACTTGATGATAGGATGCTTGTCTTGCTTACCGTGGAATCCTGGTACATGACGTTCCGGGAGTCAGACTGCTGGAGTTGAAACCAAGTCTTACCTTACAGCCATGTGACCTTAGCCATGTTTCTTCACCAAATTGTGTCTTTTTTTTTTTTTTTGCTTTTCCTTGTTCAGGAGAAGAAACCTCATTGTGTCTTAATTTCCTCATTTCTTAAATGGATGCGATAAGAGCACTTACGTTGTAGGGTTGTTGGGAGGACTAAGCAAAGTCACTCATGCAAAGTGCTTAAATTAAAGATGGCTGCAAATTCTTTGCTACTCCTTCCCTTGAGAAATGGAGTCTAATTCCCCTCCTCTTAATCCCAGGCTGGCCTGGGCAACTTGCTTGGCCAATAGAGTAAGGCAAAAATGACGTTCTTGGACTTCTGAGGCTGGGTCATAAGAAACTTGCAGTTTCCACTCAGGCCTCTTGGCACACTGTCTCTGGGAGCCCAATGCCACCATGCAAGAAGTCCGACTACCCTGAGAGCATCATGTGGCAGAGGCCACATGTATGTGCCATGATCGGCAGTTCCAGCTGAGCCCAGCTGTTCAGCCATTCCCAAGGTACCAGACATGTGAGTGAGGCCGTCTTGGACTCTCCAGCTACCAGCTGACTACCTCTGAGTAACCTCAGTGGACGCCATACGAAACAGAACCAAATTGCCCAGCCAAGCCCTGCCCAAATTCCAGCCCACAAAAGTATAAGATTTAATAAAGTGGTTGTTTTAAACCACTAAGTTCTGGGTCAGTTTGTTACACAGCAATAAATAACCAAAACACTTGGCACATAATAAATGCTCAATAAATATAAGCCCAAGTATTTTGACGTCAAATTCCCATGATAAAGATGTAAGAGTAGCCAGGTTTGGGAGATTACTATCCTGATCCTACCTTTCATGACCACCTCCTTCCCTCTCCCTGGTTCTCCTAGCGATGCTGGGACGTGTTTTTCAATCTGGTGCACACTGGGCCTGCGTCTGCTGAAAACCTCATGATCTGTGTTCATTGTCCACTCTCTGCATAAAGTTCACTACACCCAACAGCCCCCAAATAACTTCTAATTCAACCTCTGCTACCAACTCCAAGGGTAATCTTGGACCCATCTTCTGGGCCCCATTTCCCCATTTTTAGATGAAGGTTGAATTGGACACTTTCCCAGGGCACATCCTGTTTCTGATGTTACAGGGACACAGCTTGTCCCCCCCGTCCTCCATCCACCCTCTGCTCCTTTACAACCTTCAATTTGTTGGTATTTCTTTTCTTTCTTCATCCTTCGTTTTTTTCTCTTCCTCTGCCCCATTCAATGTTTAGGCTTGCCCCAAGTCTCATCTGTTTATTTTCTTAAATTTTTTTTAAATTTATTTTTTATTTTTATGGGGAAATTAGTTTTTTTATTTCAGAGTAGGAAAGGGTTTTTAAAATTTATGTATTTATTTTTATTTCAACAGATTTAGGGGGCACAAACAGAGTTTGGTTGCATGGATATATTATATAGTCTCACCTGCATTTAGAAAACCCTTTCTTGAGCTCTTATAATCCTCCAATGACCAGCTCATTTATCCTTATTTTTCACCTGCACGCTGCTGCTCTTTAACTGGTCAACTCTTAACTCTTCAGGGCTCAGCTGAGGCACTGTTACTTCAGGGAAGTCTTTGGAGACACCTGCACCCCCCCACCCCGTGCCTGCCGCCCCAACCCCATACAAGCACCCTTCCTCTGTACTCCTAGAGCACTCTTTACCCACCGCCTCCCTCATTTCAACCCCTTTCATACTGTAAGCAACTGGTTAACCATCAGCTTCCCTTGCTAGACTGCTCTGCAAAGGCATGTCATGTTCATTGCTATAGCTCGAGCACTTAGCAGTCTTGGGTACTAGGACACAGATCTCTGCAACTCTCCTTCCACATTGACAGACAACAACAACAACAACAAACACTTCTACTACAACCACAACCATTGGTTGAGGCTTTCTATATGACAGGAATTGTTCTAATCACATTACATGAATCTTGCCAGTAACTCTATGAGTAGGTTCTACAGATGGGGAACCTGAATCTCAGAGAGGTTTGGTAACTTACTTTATTTTGTTTTACTACTAGTAAATGTTGGAGCTGAGGTTCAAACCCAGGAAGCTGACCCTGGGTTAGCGAAGCCCTTTTGGGAAAGACTTTACTTCTGATATTATTGGCTTTGGGCTTTGATGTACATTGTCCTTTATTTATTTATTTTTTTAAAATGTGTATCTTGTGTGTGCAATTTGCACTCCTTCCCTAAGCCCTCTCTCTCCTAAATGTGACTGTCAGTGTCTTGGTGACCCACAAGTGCCTCTACCTCCCTACATGGATGTCCTGGGTTCAAAGTGCATCTTCTTTGCTACACCAAAGACACCCTCTCTCTATCACCTTTCTTCACCAAAGATGCCCACAGCACCCTACAGTGAAAAATCAGCACTGCGATGGGAGAGGCACATTCTGAGCAATAGCTATGGCATGTAGCAGATTGTGCATTCCTGCAGTTTTGGCGCTCATGGCTTCACGAATGGAGAGATGAGGCTTCTGATGGGATTAGCCCTGTCTGAACCAGAGGGATGTAATGGAAACATTCCATTAAAAAAACAAAAACAAAAAACCCACAAAGTCAAACCAAGTTAAATAACCACAACCAAAGGAAAGAAAAAGAAAGTAAAGACGAGACAAAAACCAATTACATGCAGAAGAAGGATGCAAGTTCCTGGAGGACAAACAGCCTACCCACATCTTAAAATTCTGGAGTAAAGATGTGGCCAAGTTTCTTCAATCTTTCATAAGACCTCTAGACTAGTATTTCTCAAGAGTTCAGTACCCACAGGTGACTGAATGGATGTTAGATGAGCAAACAGACCACCACTTTTAGGTACATGTTTTAAAAGACGCATCAAATTTTTAGAAATAAAAATAAAGCATATCTTAAACTTATTAATAATTATTTCATATCAGTAATGGGGACATATTATTCAAAGTTAATCATTTGCACATACTATGTCTGGGTCTACTGCATGTATTTGTTTCACAAATCATTTTTTAAAGTTCTTTTCATACTTTTTATTTCTGTAGATCCTAACTCATAATTATAGGTAATGAACAAGTGTTTGGTGGCTATCTAAGATTAGTCTGAGTGTTTAATTAAAGATGACCCCAAAATTTCATTGTTGTTTCATATAAAACACTAATTTAAGTGTTTGCCAGATGCCAAGTTGACAAGCATATTTTATTCGGAATATTAGAGGGTTCAACTTGGAGATAGTGGTGAATAGATTCTGTTGTTGTTTGTTCTATGTCAACTTGCTTAAGTTGGAGTTATGTTTCCCAGGACCCCCTTTCCCTCTGGGTGTCTGAAGATAGAGTAGGTCAAAGAGGAATTTTCACAAGCTTTAGAAGGCAGAAGTGAAGCAGCAGCCATTACTCCCTGAAGTTTGTCATGGTTGGATGTGGTGACAGACAGAGGTAGGGGTGCTGGAGGGTTCCAGTTATCCTTACTGTCCTCCACTCTGCCGCCTGGTATTCTTCCCAACTGATAGCCTTGTTGACCTGAAGTGGCCCCTGGCCCACCACTTGATGCATGAGACTGTAATTTATTTATCACTGTATCTCCAGGGGATGCAGATCCTTTCTTAGAGGTGTTCAGTATCTTGAGGGTTCGTTGAATAAATGCATGTGCATGGTTTTATGTGCATTGATTTTGGCTACTCAGTATTGGGTAATAGTAATATAATTTTCTTCTGGAGAATCACCCCCTGTCCCACCTTTAGTCAGTGTGTGTTGGATAAGGTTGATTCTACCCTTAGCTCCACTGGCCATATGAGTTCAGCCAGGCCAATCAGGTTATCACATGCCCCTGCCTGTAGTGATTGGTTCAGGGATGGAATTTGACCTAACCTGAAACAATAATATATGATGGTCTTTTTCTGTTGAGACAGAGGCACATGATCTTTTCTGCAGGACTTGAACCTGAGAGGATATAGGCCTAATGATATTGGCAGCCATTTTGGAGCCATGTGGAACCTAAGAATGAAGCCAACATTGTGAATAGCAAAGCCATGAGAAGAAACAACACTGTGTTTTGATGATATTTGAGGCCCTGGATTGAGCTGTACTGGGAGTCAGTGTCCATTGGGTTTCAATTATATGAGCCAATAACCATCCCCATCATTTTTTTCCCTCAAACCATAAGGAGTGGGATCTCTGTGACTTGGAACGTGAAAGGCCTCACTCACACTGAATAATTTTCAATTTTCCTTTAGGAGCAGAACCCTTTTTTCAAATGAAAGTTTACACAAACCCCATTACACAACAAGGTTAATAGCAGAGCTCCTGAGGATCAGGCCCTGCCCTCCTGCCCTCTTAATTCCCCAAGTTCTGAAGCAGTTCCCAAGCTACCTCTGTGGGACACCAGTCTTGGCAGAACATACTTAGAAAACCACAAATTTAGCCCATGTCTCTTGTTTTAAAGATAAGAAAACTGAAGTTCAGAGGCAAGACATGACTGACTCAATCCCAGTTACTGGCAGATCTGGGCTGCAAACCAGGCCTCCAGACGCTCCCTCAGGGGTCTTCCTCACATGGAATCACAGCGCCTGACATGCTGGAAAGAGGAGCAGGCACGCGATGGGGCGGCACGCCTAAGAAGCTGGTGCCGAAGGGATGCCTGAAAAACAAAATTAGGAGAGCCTGGGGTCAGCATTGCCCTGGCTCTGGCTGGGCTGAGGACAGTTCTGAATCTAGAACTGTCTTATTTCCTGGGAAGAAATGTCCCTGGAATGGAGAAGTTCAGTTCAATCCAACATCTTTACATTGAGTGGTTACTGGTTGCTTTATCCCCATTGCCCGGCAATCAGCTGGCAATGGGATAAAGACCATGGACCTTGTAGCCTGTGTGACCTAGCTGCCCATCTCTAGGAACCTGTTCCCACAAAAATGACAGCATGAGTGTGAAAAAACCCATGTTCACTGGCATGTTTTTCTAGTGTGGTTTGTTATATTAATAGTAAGGTATCAGCCCTAGCTTATATATCCATCAACAGAGGACTAGTTAAATGATGGTACTTCATCCTGTAAAATACTACACTACAGTTAAAAAGAACAAGTTAAGTCTATATGTATGCACATGGAAAAGTGTCCATGATATATACTGAGTGGAAAAATTAAGTTGCAGAACAATATTTATGATATTATTTCATTCTTGCAAAAATCATTTTCCAAGACTCTGTGTGTGTGTGTGTGTGTGTGTGTGTGTGTGCACGTGCGCGCGTGCATATATGCAAAAAGGGCTGGAAGGGTACATTCAAAGTGTTAATAGTGGTTACATCTGAGAAGGAGAGTTGGGGCAGACTTTGGTCACTCAGTTTGAATGACAGCCAAAGATCACATCTCCCTCTCAGATCTGAAAATGCCATCCAGCCTTCCTTGCAGCGCAGACACATGATAAAGCCTCTATTAAGTCACCTAGAGTGGGAGGGGACAGGGCATTTACTCCTCCGGCAGAGGGGGCTGCAAGGTCAAATTCGTGACACAGAAGTGGTGCTGTTTCCTGCTGTAGCAAGCAGTGGCTGTGTACTACAGTGCGTAGTGGTGGCAGAGACGGTTTCTAACACACCAGACCGTGGGGAGCTTTGGGGCCTTGTTTCTGGAAGCCTGGCCTGGAGCTCTCTTCCCACATTCTGTGAGCCACCCGGTATCCTTCTAGTAAACTCTTCTGTTTCATCATTCAGGGTCAGCTGAGTTAGAGGGACCTCTGATTATTTTATAAGTGTTTTTTGATACACAAATACATGTATAAATTTTGTAACCAAAAAATATTTGAAAGATTACAGATGATCTCACCCTCAAGGAGCATGCAGCGTATTAGAGATATGTGCTCCTACCTTGCTTTGAACCAGGGTTTTCATAGAAGAGGCAAAGGTGCTGACCATTAAACAGCAAGTACAGCAACCAGAGCTCGGCTTGCAGTGAGAGGTTCACTCAGAAGTGTTCTTTTCTTTTTATTAATAAATAGCCTGTAATCCTAGCTCTCTGGGAGGCCGAGGCGGGCGGATTGTTTGAGCTCAGGAGTTCGAAACCAGCCTGAGCAAGAGCGAGACCCCGTCTCTACTAAAAATAGAAAGAAATTAATTGGACAACTAAAAATATATAGAAAAAATTAGCTGGGCATGGTGGCACATGCCTGTAGTCCCAGCTACTCGGGAGGCTGAGGCAGGTGGATCGCTTGAGCCCAGGAGTTTGAGGTTGCTGTGAGCGAGGATGACGCCACGGCACTCTAGCCTGGGCAACACAGTGAGACTCTGTCTCAAAAAAAATAAAAAAATAAAATAAATAAAATAAATAAATAAACAACTTCCTGACCTGCAAGTGAGTCTCAGGCATGAATTCCCTTGGGAGAGATGTGTCCTGTTCAGGCTGTACCTCCCACTGTCCCTGTGCATCTATCTGGTGCGTCTTCCTCCTGGTTCTTGGGCAGACGAGCTTGTCTGCTGAGAGCCAGGGCCCCTGCGGAGGCTGAAGTTCCCATGTCACATAGAGCTGGGGTATTGGGCCCTGGGTGAAACCGGGGGGCAGCTCCCAACTGCTGCTTGACTAACGTGTTTCCTTCACACCTTGACTTGGGCAAGCTGGGCTAATTGATAAATGAACTTGGGAATGACACACCTTCATGGCCAAAGTTCAAGATGTCATGTTGGTGGAAGATGGCAAAAGTCTGGTGAAAAGATGTCAGAAGTGAAAGGACTTGGTACCAGGAAGTGTAGAATCACTGTCCACAATTACTGGAGGTCCTTGTTGATTTCTTTTTTTTGCCTTTTCAATGACTTTTTGATATTTGAATTCCATACATGCCTGTCTTAGTTTTCAATCCCCAGAAGCAGTACCTGAGACAAGGATTCAAGTGCAAGTGGTTTGATTGAAAAGTGATTGTTTGAGGATCACCATTCAGGGAACCGGGAAGGACTCTGACAGAGTGTGTTGTTGAGCGAGTTTCCACTATGGGCAACCAGAGCTCAGTCCCACTGAGAGACCCTGCAAGCCAGCGTGGAATGCGCAGCTCAGAGTTTCCCGCTGGTGGGGAAGGCGGTGAAGGGGTTCATTCATTGGTTGAGGGCTGCCCCAGGAAGGTGTTCATTCTCTAGTATTTCTGGCCTGCCGAGAGTGTAGGCCGATCAGGAAGCCTTTGGGCAGAGAGTCACAGATGCTGGCTGTTGGAAGTCAGGCCACATACACAGAAATGTCACACGCTGAGACCATCTGCATGGGCCATCAACAGCTTCTGCTACATGTTCCTTTCCTTGTTTGCGCAATTCACGAAATTTGCCTGCCTTCCAATCAGATACTGCAAGGTAAGCAAAGAGTTTCGTTTGATCTTAGGTGATCACAGATGATTAATCTGATTTATATTTCATTTAAGTATCAGTATTTGTAGTGAAAATATACCAAATTGCTTAACATCAATGTCATACACAGAATAAAATAACATACATGTTGTTTTTGAAAGAAAATAACTTCAGAGGAAAAATACATACTATCTTGAGAGCATCCGAGTTTGTGAGAGGCAGGAATATATTCCCTTTGCCGGGGTAGAAAACCCTGAGCCCTTGGTCTTGCCCACAGCAATATACTGAGGGCCTACCATGCACCTGGGGAATGGCTACTTGGTGTTGTCTGTGGTCATTTACTACTTTTTGTGATGAGCCTCCAACTGGGGCACCTGGCCATTAAGTCCTTCTTATTCAGAAAGTCAACTTCTTAGTCACTAAATTCATTGCGCTGCAGTTCTCCTCAGGAAAAATAAGTGCTAGTGCATGATTATTGCAGTTATTTGAGAATATGCATCACAATTTCACATTCCGTGTCTTAGTCCATTTGGGCTGTTACAACAAATTGCCACAGACTGCGTGGCTTCTAAACAGCAGGTATTTATTTCTCACAGTTCCGGAGGCTGGGAAGTCCAAGATCAAGGTGCCGTCAGATTCAGAGTCTGGCGAGGGCTTGCTTTATGGTTCATAGATGACACCTTCTTGCTGTCTTTATATGGTGGAAGGGGCAAATGAGCCCCCTCAGGCATCTTTTATAAGGGCACTAATCCCATTTATGAGTGGGTGGACCTAAGGGGGAAAGGGATTGGACAGCCAACAAGACTGTCAAATATCCACTACCAGAGGTTGTTTTCAAGATGAGGAAACAGCTGCAGGGAGGTAGAGGAATGCCCAGTGTTCCATGACTTGTCGGGGCAGAGCTAGGATTTGAACACAGCGGTGCGGTGGCCCAGCTCCTGCTGTGTTCTTTCCTCTTGCTCTGTCACCTCTGGTCTGGGTGATGTCTGCTCTTGCTCACATACTTGTAGAGGACAGGGCTTTTAGAGAATGGACGGCTTCGTGGAAGAGGGGAAGGAAAGGGTGCTGTTGAAAGAGGGGACAAGCCCAGAGAGCCTGTCTTGGTGGAGGCTGTCTCTGGGCAGCCAAGAACACTGACTGTCTTCTGTTGAGGGTGGAGCCTCCACTCACCCTGCCCTCCCTTAATTGGCTTGAGGAGAAGGCTACGTTTAGTGCTGGAGCCTGATGAATTGTGGTCACAATGGAGGGGAGGGGTTGATGCTCATGGGCACAGACAGAAAACCAAAATCAATCGGGCTGTCTAGGTACTTCCCACAAAATGCTTTCAATTCTAAATTCATTCCAAGTTCATCTCTTAAGCATATTTGAAATATGGAAATAACCTCAGATTGTCACAATCTAGAACGTAATTTACATAAGCTAAGAGCCCAGAGGGAGGACAGCATGGGCCCTGTCTCTCAGGCCTGTGTGGGTCCAATTTTCATAAGACTCCTGGTGACATGAGGCTGAATTGGGCAGCAGATTAGACATATAGTGGCAGTTGCTTATATTTAAAATGTCTTTTTAAACACAGTCATGAGCCTCATAGTGACGTTTCGATCAACAACAGATGGCATATATGACAGTGGTCCTGTGAATTATAATGGAGCTGAAAATTTTCTATGGTCTAGTGATGTCCTCGCCGTCATGATAGTTCTGTGCATTACTCACAAGTTTGTGGAATGCTACTGTAAACAATCTACTTTGTTGCCAGTTGTATAAAAGTATAGCACATAAAATTATATAGTATGCAATACTTGATAATGATAAACAACTATGTTACTGGTTTATATATTTACTATACTATACTTTTTATCATTATTTTAGAGTATACTCCCTCTACTTGTAAAAAAAAAATAGTTAACTGTAAAACAGTCTCAGGCGTGTCCTTCAGGAGGTATTCCAGAAGAAGACATTGTAACCATAGGAAATGACAGCTCCATGTGTGCTTTCCACCTTGCCTCTGGAGCCAGAACCTCTACCTGGGGCATGGTAGAAGATGCCACAATTCCTGAATGCACCCTATCCCACTGATGTCCCAGGCACTGTGACCGAGGGCTTAGTGCCCTGCTCCTGCTGCCTTTGCAACCACTGGTATAGACCCTTCCACAGTCCCAGTGGGCTCTGGCGTGTGAGGAGGGAGGACCTACC